CTTCAGGTCTAGGAATACAGGTTATGCTGGAGAGCAGGGGATGGGGCTTCCTAAGAGGGGGTTGCAGAGATGCATTACAAGGCTGGAAGTGTCCCTTTAAGGCTTGAGCTCTGTATCTTTTAGTTATTAGAAAGGTGACCTTTTCTCCATTTGATTTGAGGACTGTTTTAGTTCTTCTTCCTGTCCTGCTTATTAAAAATATTTGGCCCTCTACTTTCTTACTCTTTGCTAGATATACGCAAATATTTATCATAAATATGTTTTCTTCATGTCTACTTTTAACATATAGATGTATTTAAATGTTTAATCTTTCAATATTTTCTATTGGGATTTACCCTCTTGTATTTTTATTTATAAGTTTCTATACACAGCAGAGGTACAGTAATCCTTTCCTTAAATTCTTCTAATCTTTTAGAGATTCAGATTCTTAACTTTAACTCTGTATTCACTACAGAGGTTACTCGTTGCATATACTTGCTATTTATAATTAAATAAAAACTAGTTCCTCAGTTATATTTGCCATATTTTTATAATTGATTTTATTTTGACAAAAGTTTTCTGCTTAATTGAGATAACTTTTGAGTACTTTAGGCATAAATGAGTGGTAAGTTCTTTGTATCTCTAGCCCCCAGACCTCCAGCCTCTCACCAGCAGCACCCCTCAAAGACATTTAGTGTAATGAATTTACACACAGACACGTCAGACTCACCCCAAGTCCACGGCATACTGTAAGGTTCACTTCTGGTATACACCCTATGGGACCTGACAAAGAAATAAAGACGCACCCACCCCAGGCCACCACCAACTGTCTTTCTGTCCTCAGAGTCCTGTCCTCTACTGCATGTCTCAACATCTTATCATATAGAACACAGTCTTTACAGGCTGATTTTTTCACGTATGCATGATGATGTGTTTAAGTTCCTTATGTCTTCCACGGCTTGACAGTGTCTTTTCTGTACTGAACAATATTTATCCATCTGGCATCTGGATGTTTCCATTGGTCAACAGAAGGGAATTTCAGTTACTTCCAAGTACTGACTAATATGTATAAGATTAATGTAAGCATCAGTTTATAGTTTTTTTATAGGTGGACCTAAGTTTATTCTAGTAACTAGTTAGTAAGATATCATGGCAGTAGTTCCTTTAGCTTCCTAAGAAACTGAGAAACTGTCTTCCAAGATGGCCACACCTCTCTGCACACCTTTTGCTCCACATAAATTAGGGCAACTGGTATGTACGGGCCACATCTCAAGACAGTAACAGACACACATTGGTTGATATCGGACAGAACATGCTTTTGCACATGCTGCTTTGCTTAAACCTCAGCTGGTTGTCCAGGAGAAGGAGCCAGGGTAGGGCGTCTCCTGCAGCACATCCATCCGATCTCCTTGGATTTCACTGGTGCTTTGTCTGCATTTGCTTAGAAATTCAGACTCCTGCTGAGCCGCTTCTTGACTGTATGTCCATTAGCCAATGACTTAACCCTTCTGGCTCTCAGTTTCCTCATCCTAATTACTCATTAATTTGGTGCAGGGATTAAATTAGATAAGCAAGGTAAGATAAATTGAAACATTCATCATGCTAAGCCCTCATTTGTAAACTCTTGTTTTTAACCATGTTTCACTACAGTATTTTTAGGACTCTTACTGAAAGCAAACGTTAATGCTATTTTTACCCGATCTGGATTTATGTAACCCAACAGTAGATTTGCTGCTTTTATATCACCATGAACATATTCATTTTCATGTATATATTCCAGTATGTCCAACTGTGAAAAAAAATAATAAAATTCATGATCAGTATGAATACTTTATAGAATAACATGGTTTGTTTTCAAATTGATGATCACAAAGCAATGTATTTTACAATTGATTATTTTAAAATATCGTAATTTCTGGCTGCTTATCCTATAAAGAGTTGAGCAAAACGATCCCCAAATATCAAGCATTTTACTTGAACTTTTAAGGGAAGGAAACCAAGATTCAACAATACTTATTCCTATATGTCTTAGAGCCCAATGACCAAACCAAAACACCTAAGAGGGAATGTGAAGAATAATCTCAATCGTCAAGTTGACAAAATGTAGAATGACCTGGGAGCTGGGCCTCCAAGAATGCCTGTGAGGGGTTATCTTGATTAGGTTAACTCAGGAGAGAGGATCTGCCCACCGTGGTCAGCACCACTCCCTGCACTGAGACCCTGGATGGTAAAAAATGAGCAGAGCACCCATGTCCGCTTCTTCACTGTGGCTGCAACGTGACCAGCTACAGCTGTGACTTCTGCCATGATGGATTTTAACCTCAAATCATAAGCCAACATAAACTCTTTCTCCCTTAAATTGCTTTTGTTAGAATATTCTATCACAACAGTAAGAAAAGTAATTAAGAAAAGACACGAAATTGGTACTCAGAAGTATGGAAACTATATGATTAGTTTGACAACATGGTTCTGATGCCTTTGGAACTGTTTTATGGCTGGAATGGGCAAGTTTGGAACTTTGGACCAGAAAGGCCTTGAATGCTGGAGGCAGAGCTTAATGAGTCATTCTGGTAGGAGCTTGGAAGACAAGAATGCTAACAGAAATGTAGACTGTGAGGGCCTGACTCCTGAGGCTTCAGGGGGAACAAAGATTCTATCAGAAACTGGGCTGGGGTGTATTCACGTGATATTTTGGGCAAAAACCTGGTTTCCTCATACCCACACCTTGAGATCTTGGGTGACGTTAAATTTAAAGGCAACAGACTAAGGTTGGCACTGAGAAAGCAGTTGTAACTGTTAGAGAGATCAACACCCCTCAGGAGAGCACTCCTGTTGAGACAACAGGAACACTGGGACAACAGGAAGGCTGTCTTAAGGCTGTGACCCACCCATCAGAGCCTCCATAAGTGAAGATCCAAATTCAACCAAAAGAAGAAAGCCTAAATGGGGGTGGGGAGAGTTTCCTTGCTCTTCAAAAGGCAACTTCCTAGGAAAGCGTTTCCCCAGAGTCAGCGCACAGATGCTGATATGGCTATGGTCCAAGGGGCCAGGGTTCATCTTGAACTGGCAGCAGAATTTAGCCACACTGTCCATGAGGTACAGGTTTTGTAGATGTGGAAAATTCAAGATTGAGGAGGTCAAAGAGTCCTGCTCCACAATTTCAGAGAGAATCTGAGCCAGGCAATGTATAACAGGGCCAGAGTTCCTGCAAGGATGGCCACAGGTCATCACATGAAGCTGTGAAGATGAAGTTCAAGTTGCAGTAGAGACCCCAGGATACTGGAGATGCCAGGACCACGGGAAATCCATGAAGGAAAGCTACAGGCATGGAGTGGAGCAAGATTAATAGGGAGGCTATCTGTGCTGCGTATGGCAGGGCTGGAAATGTGGGCAACATAAGGCCTCTGGAGTACAGCCAATTTCATCAGTATCCCCAAAAGACACGAAGCCATAGGTTTTGGTGTTTTCTCTGCCAAATTTCTGCCTTGCTTTGGTCCAGTCATTCCCTTGCTATGCCTCCATTCTTCCATTTTGGAATGGGAATGTTTTTGTTTATTGTATGCCCTTATATGTTGAAAGTATGTAGCTTGTCTTTTGTTTTATAGGCGCGCACAGTTACAAGACTGCCTTAAATATCAGATGAGACCTGAACTTTGGATGTTAAAACTGTTGGCACTGTTAAAGACTATGGGGACTTCTGAAGGTGTTTTATGCTCTGCATTATGAGATGAACATGAGTCCATGGGGACAAGAAATGGAAGGTTATCATTTAAACTGATGTGTTTGAGTGTCAAGTTGACAAGGGGTAGAACTGTAATGGTTAATCACAATTGTCGACTTTATGAGATCGAGGATCACCTGGGAAAGGAGCCTCTGAGAATACCCGGAGGATTATCTTGATTTTGTTAATCGAGGTGAGAAGATCTTCCCACTGTGGGTGGCACATCTCTGGGATGAGATCCTATACTACATAAAAAGGAGACAGTGAGCAGAGCAGTCATTCATCTCTTTTTGCTTCTTGACTGTGGTGTGACCAGTTGCCCCAAGCTCCTCTGCTGTGAATTCCCCACCACAGTGGACTGTAACTTCAAACTATGAGTCATAATGAACACTTCCTCCTTGAATTTGCTCGTCAGGGTTTTAGCAGAGCAACAAGAAAAGTAACTGAGACTGGGGATAAATAGCATAAACTACAGGGAAACAGCCATGAGAACTATGGTGAAATAATGATGTCATCCATTCATCAATAAATAATTATGAATAAAATCTTGGAGACCTCAGTACAAAATACCATGCCCAGGAATATTCTTCTGTGTAGTAACGGAAAACATTTGAACATTTTTAAAGACCTTGGGCCTTGCATGTTACATACTGCTCCATAACATGTACCATAAACCTGCACTAGGTGGGTAGAAAGATGAACAAATGAATGGAGAAATTAATTATTTTTCACATCAAATCTGGAATGAGTAATTTTACTCAATTTAAAACTGGGGAGGAGACCTGAGAAAACCACACACAAATCAAACAAATACAGCACATAAACACTAGCACAAGTGCTTTTCAGACTACACTGCTTGATAGTAAAGCACATATTATCCACTTCTCATTAACTGATGCCTCCATCCCAATTTAAGCTTAGAAATACTGAAGCAAGCTGTGCCATCATATTTAATAAGAAAATAGTATATTTGGGTGTTGTAGAGATGGCCCAGCAGTTAAGAGCATGGCTGTTCTTGCAGGGGACCCAGGTTCGGTTCCTAGCACCCACATGGTGATGGCTAACAACCATCTGTAACTCCAATTCCAGGGAATCCAACGCCCTCTTCTGGTTCCAAGGGCACTGCACACACAGGTGCACTGATAGACATGTAGGCAAAACACTCATACACATAAAAATAAATAAATCAGAAAGATAGTATATCTGGCCATAATTGGTAATTACGGATAGACACAACAGAGGTTAATAAAGATATACAAGCTTGTTCTGATACACAAAACAAAGCTGTGGGGGAAAAATCAGACTGTAGAAGCAATGTCTAAGTCAGTTTGCAGCGCCAGCACATCCCAGTGTGCCACCTGCAGGGCCCATGGCTAGCAATTTCAAAAACATATACTCTACTCACAATAACTGACATTTCTAGGGTATGATCCTTCATTTTCTCATAATTCTACAAAGGGCACAAACATACACATTGTACCAAATGAATAATCTAAAAATAGGGCCTGTAAAATAACCCATTATATCTTACCATTCGAATACCAAGTTGCAGGACAGTTGACTTTTTAAACGAACCATTCTGGTCTAAGATTTTCTGTAAATCTGTTCCCAGTCTTTCCATCACCATAAATCTGTAACTATAATGAGATACCAGAAAAGAGATCTTACTGAAATAATAATTCTTGAAATCGTCTATTAATGAATTTGAAAGAAGAAAAAATAGTTCCCACCCAAGTAACAATCAAGAAGAATATAGTCCAAGGTATTAAAGAATGGGCACACAATAAGCTTGCTATTTCTTTGTGCAAAGATACTTAGTACTTCCCCTGCAATTACTTTTCTACTGATAACCAATTAGTGCTGTCTTAGATAACAGAAAGAGAATGATGCTTCCACGTGAACGTCCATCACCCTGCCACTGTATGGCCTGAGCAAACTTCGCTGTCCATGCAGAAAGTGGTAGTTATTTATCTTATAGGATTATATTTCTCTATATATTTATAAACATTCATATTTTACATTTGATTTGCATGTGTGTGTGGTATCATGTGTATGCAAGGAGGTATGTGCCTGTGTGTGAACTGGACACAAGAGAGTGTTAGGTCTCCCATTGCTAAAGTGACAGGCATTTGCAGGACACCAGCTTGCTACATGTGTGCTGGGATCTGAACTCAATTCCTAATAATTGCTCAGAATGCACTCTTAACTACTGGGTCATCTTTCCATCCCCACCTATCTTTTTGTAACTCCTTCTTTTTCTGTTTGATAATGTGCTGTTTTTCTCCTATGTCTTATCATATGCACAAGAGTCTGCATTCTGCATCAATTATTATAAAAGTACACACATGAACCTTTTCAGGAGTTGCTGTAAAAAAATGTGATCATATGGGCATTGCCACTATTCTTTATTTCTGTTATTATACAAAGTAATGGGCTTCCTATGGCATTTTCATACATGTATGTCATTCAACCTCCTCTCCCATGGCCTGCTCCAATCATCCCCACAGCCCTGCTGCTGGTTCTCTTCCTCCCCAAATTAGTCCTCTCCTGCTTTCATGCCACTGATATTCTGCTTTCTTCTCTTTTAACACACCACACATATATACATTTAAATCTGGGTGTTTAGATGAAGTTGAACATGCACTATTTGTCAGAATCTGGGTTATTTCATTTAACATAATGTTTTCCTGTTCCATCCATTTTCCTACAAATGTCATTTCATTTTTTTTACAGCTGAATACAATTTCATTGTGTATGGCACATATTTTCATTTTCCATTTATCTGGTGATGGACATCTAGGCTGATCACATGCCATGTACTGTGAATAGCACAACCATAAACATGCAAATACAACCATCTCTCTGGTATGCTAAGATTTGTTCAGGTATATACCTAGGAGTATATGGTAGGGTCATATGTAGTTCTACTTAGTTTTATTGAGAAACATCTATGATTTCATCTTGGCCTCACGAGTTTATGTGCATACTAGCAGTGTATAACAGTTCCTCTTTTCCAATATACCTGCTAGCTACTAATTGTTGCATGTGGATTCTGCATCCTACTACTTTGCTGAAAGTGTTTATCAGATCTAAGAGTTTTCTGGTGGAGACTCCTGGGTTTCTAA